GGGAGGAGAGAGAGAGAACCGCTGTGAACCACAGTTCTTCTTCTCTGCAGACACAGGCGTATACCAGGACTCCGTTACTGTTTCTTACCGATCCGGGCCTGGGGAAGGGGATGGCGCCGCTGTAGCGCCCCCACTTCTGCGACGCCTCCCTGTACTCCTTGTACACGCCTTCGAACACCTTCTTGACGTCGCCGATCTGGTACTGGCACACGGCTGACACGTCCACGTCGCCCCTGGGGAACCGGCAGCAGCAACCGACAAGTCAGTGATGAGCTAAGCTAACGGCGGCACCAGAACCAGGAAGTGGGTTCCGGCGCCGGACAGTTGTCGGTTCAGGACCACTCACCACTGGGCGTGGAAGATCCCGTAAAAGGTTGTCGCCCTCCAGTCCTGCCCCGGAAGCGTGAAAACTGCCCTCAGGTTGTTGAAGGAGACATGGCGCTCCGGGAGGGAACACTCCAGACGGGCTTTCTGGAATGTGGTCCACTTCTTCTGCAGGGTCCTGGAGCCGCCCAGGTCCCCCTAAAAGACGGGACATTTCCGGAGTCAAACAGCCCGTTATCACCCCCCCCACCCCCGTCTTGGGTGTAGTGCAGAGGCGGGGGGTCTCTCACCTTACAGACCCGGGCCACTCTGGCCACGGTCATCTCCCGGTCACAGTCCAGCTCCAGCGCTCGCTCGCTGAAGAAAAAGTAGATTTTATCGTCGTCGCCCACTTTACTTCCGCCGCTCTCCCTCACCAGGGCCGAGCCCACGAAGTCCGGCTCTGTGTACCGAGAGGGAGGGGGGAGACAGGGGGAGACAGGGGGAGAGAGAGGGGAGAGTTTTAACTCACTTCATTTTATACCATCTTGAAGAAACTCTTGTTTTTTTTACGGTTCTAGTAAAAAATCCCTTTAAAAAACCCTTAAACTGCTGATTTTTTTTTTTTTTGTTACCAACAACAAAACGTGGTTCAAACACTGACACCTAATAAAAGACTCTCAGTCTGACAGTTAAAAAATTAGAACCCAACCAGAGTCACTTCCTGTCCCTCCCTGGGCCCCACCCCGGCTTTTTCTACTTATATAAATAATCCTTTTTTTTTTCTTTTTTTTCCTTCTTCTCTGCAGAGGTAATTTAGGAGTTGCCACTTCAATTTCTGGTTTTTACCCTTCATGAAAACTTTCTATGTGAGAACGGAGTTAAAGAAAAAAAAACTATAAAAAATCAATGTTTAAAAAAAAACGAAAAAAAAACCCAACTGTTTTTTTCTGCTGTATTTTTCCTCAGTTTTTCACAGTGAATACATCAGGCAACTGGTAAAAACAAACCAGAAAACTAGTGATGTCTGACCGAAGTTTTTTGCCGATATCCGATATGCCGATGTTGTCCGAACGCAAAATTTCTGATTTCGATATCAACTGATACCGTTACAGGCCTGGTATTACTTATTTATTTATCTGTACAAACCACTATATGAGTACGAGATTAATAAAATGAGCTGCAATGCTGCCATCTAGTGACTTTCACTTTCATATACAGCCTTTTTTCCCCCAAAAACAAAACAAAATTTTTTAGGGGACATAATATTTGGCGAAACCTAGGCATCGCGTTATCAGGTTTTTCATTATTGGAGGAAAAACTGATTCCGATTCTTACAGATGTTGCGTAATTATGCTAATATCAGGACCGAAAAAAAAAAACCCACCTAAAATGCTAACTCGCATGCTATCGACATAAATCAAAATAAATCCCTTTACAGACGTCGGTTTCCAGAACCGTTTCTAAGGCGGCGGCAAGGGCTGACAAATCCTAAGCTGATGTCACTTCCTGTCTGTGCATTAACTGTGTAACCGTCGACAACCTACCGTTGAGCCACGCCGGCAGGTATTCGCTCTTCATGCTGTAGTGCTGCTGACCCAGGTTCCTCAGGATGACCGGTTCCGTTCCCAGGAAGTTGTTGAGCGTTGCTGAGTACAGTTCCTTATCTGCACCGACACAAAAAAAAAAAATAGATTTTCACGTCAAATATCTGGGCATCGAACCAGTGACCCTCCTGCTGTAAGGCAAGGACACCAACGCCTCAGATAACTGGGGAAAGAAAATGGTTCTTAACAGTTCCTAGGATCGGTTTCCACTCACCGACGATCAGACCAGTGTGACCTTTGGCGGGGTCGTATGGACATTTGCCTTTACCGTCCTCTAGGGCGGCGGTGTTGAGGGTAAAAGAGTCGGAACTCTGTGAACACACACACATACACACACTCAGTTAGCCAACAGTACCAGGGGACTGAGGTCCAGCCCGGTCTCTGACTGCAGGACTCACCACGTATGTGCACTTGGGCTGGAAGGCGTAGGTGCCGCAGGTGTACAGGTGGGTGTCGTTGTAGCTCTGCAGGAAGCGGACGTAGTTGAAGCACTCGGTCTGTGGAGGAGGAGGGGTCAGAGGTGACAGAGGTCAAAGTGTGGTCGACCTTGACCTCTCCTCAGGTTTCGGTTTGTACAGAACACTGATGGTCAGGGGTCAAGGGTCAGGTCAAACCGAACTCCCCCCCGACACTCCCTGTCAATGTGTACACGTGCTGCTAATGCTACTGCTAATGCTACTGCTACTGCTAATGCTGCTGCTACTACTGCTAATGCTAATGCTAATGCTACTGATACGACTACTACTATTACTAATGCTGCTGCTAATGTTACTGCTGCTACTGCTAATGCTGCTGCTACTACTGCTAATGCTGCTGCTAATGCTACCGCTACTGCTGCTGCTAATGCTGCTGCTACTGTTACTGCTGCTGCTGCTAATGCTACTGATGCTGCTGCTACTACTGCTAATACTGCTAATGCTACTGCTGCTACTGTTGCTGCTGATGCTACTGTTACTGCTGCTGCTAATGCTACTGCTGCTACTATTACTACTGCTAATGCTAATGTTGCTGTTACTGCTGCTGTTACTGCTGCTGTCACTGCTGCTGCTGTTGTTACTGCTGCTGCTCCACCCTCTGATGTACTGATGACCACATGATCACAGACAGTAAAACGCCGAGGCGACAGATTGTCTCCATAAAAAAAAACTCTGAAAAAGTGAACAGAGGAAAAACGGCGGCCTTTTATTACGCGAACTTTAACGTCTGCTCCACGACGGAGAACAAAGG